GGGTATTACAAATAAAGCTGCTAAGAACATGGTTGAGCAAATGTCCTTCTTGTATACTTGAGCAACTTTTGGGTATATGCCTAGGAATGACATAGCTGGATCTTGAGGTAGCACTATTCCTAATTGTCTGAGAAAGCACCAGATCGGTTTCCAAAGTGGTTGTACAAGTTTACATTCCCACAAGCAATGGACTAGGGTTCCTCTTTCGTTACGTTACATCCTCTACAGCATATGTTGTCCCTTGAGTTTTTGATCTTAGCCATTCTGATGGGTGTGAGATGAAATCTCAGGGTTTTTTTGATTAGCATTTCTCTGATGACAAAAATGTTAAGCATTATTTAAGTGTTTCTCTGCTATTTGATGCTCCTCTAATGAGAATTATCTCTATAGCTCTGTACCCCATTTTTTAATTCAGTTATATGATTTGTTCCTGTTTAATTTCTTAAGTTCTTTACATATTCTGGATATTAGCCCTGTGTCAAATAGAGGGTTGGCGAAGATCCTTTCCCAATCTGTAAGCTGTCATTTTGTTCTAATGTCAGTGTCCTTTGCTTTACAGAAGATTTTCAGTTTTCATTGGGTCCCTTTTTTTGATTGTTGATCTTAGAGCCTGTGCTGTTGGTATTCTGGTGAGGAAGTTGTATCTTGTACTAATTAGTTCCAGGCTCTTCCCCACTTTTTCTTCTAACAGGTTTAGTGTGTCTATTTTTATATTGAGGTCTTTGATCCACTTGGAGTTTATCTTTGTACAGGGTGATAAGTATGGATCTATTTGCATTTTTCTACACGTAAACATCCAGTTAGTCCAGAACTATTTGTTGAAGATGCTATCCTTTTTTCCATTGTATGGTTTTGGCATCTTTGTTAAAAATCAGGTGTCCATAAGTTTTTGGGTTTATTTCTGGATCTTCTATTCAATTCCACTGATCCACCCTTTCTGTTTCTATGCCAGTACCATGCAGTTTTTATTACTGTTGCTCTGTAGTACAGCTTGAGATCTGGGATGGAGATACCTCAAGAAGATCTTTTATTGTAGAGGATTGTTTTAGTGATTCTGGGATTCTTGTTATTCCATATTAATTTGAGAATTTTTCTTTCAAGGTCTGTAAAGAAATTGTGTTGGTAATTTGATGGGAATTGCATTGAATCTACAGATTGCTTTAGTAAAATGGCCATTTTTACTATGTTAATTCTGCCAAACCATGAGCATGAGAGATCTTTCCATCTTCTGATATCTTCTTTTATTTCTTACTTCAGAGACTAAAGTTTTTTGGTTTTTGCTTTTTGTTTTTCATACAAGTCTTTGACTTGCTCGGTTAGAGTTACACCAAGGTACTTTATTTTCTTTATGGCTATCATGAAGGATGTGGAGAAATCGGAACCACTCCTAGGCATAAATGCAAACTATGCTCAAGTACACAACAAGGACATTCGCTCAACCATGTTTGTAGCAGCTTTATTTGTAATAACCGAAACCTGGAAACAACCCATACGTCCCTCAACAGAGGAATGGATACAGAAATTGTGGTACATTTACGCAACAGAATGCTCCTCAGCAATTAAAAACAAGGAAATCATGAAATTTGCAGGCAAACGGTGGGATCATCCTTGGTGAGGTATCCCAGAAGCAGAAAGACACACATGGTATATACTCACTTATAAGTGGATGTTAGACATATACTATAGGATAATCATACTAAAATCTGTACACCTAAAGCTAATCTAGAAGTAGAACCCAGGGTAAAATGCTCAGTCTTCATTCAGAAAGGCAAACGGGGTGGACATCAGAAGAGTAAGAAAACAGGAAACAGGATGGGAGCCTACCATAGAGGGCCTCTGGAAGACTCTACCCAGCAAAGTATCAAAGCAGAGGCTGAGACTCCTAGCCAAACTTTGGGCAGAGTGCACGAAATCTTATGAAAGAAGGAGGAGATAGAATGACCTGGAGGGGACAGGAACTCCACAAGGAGAGAAAAAAATATCTGGGCCCAGGGGTCTTTTCTGAGACTGATACTCCAACCAAGTGCTCTTCGTGGAGATAACCTAGAACTCCTGCACAGATGTAGCCCAAGGCAGCTCAGTCTCCAAGTGGGTAGCCTAGTAATGGGAACAGGGACTGTCTCTGACATGAACTCAGTGGCCTATTCTTTGATCATTTCCCCCTGACGACAATGCAGCCTTACCAGGATTAGAAGGAAGGGTAGGAGGACCTACCCTATCAGTGGACTTCGGGTGGAGCATGGGAGGAGAAGAGGGAGAGAGAGTGGCATTTGGAGTGGATGGGGGAAGGGGCTATGGTTGGAATACAATGAATAAACTGTAATTAATAAAAACATAAATAAATTTAAAATAAAAATCTTGATCAAACTAATTAGTTAATAATAGAATGAGTGAGTTCAAAACATGATTTCAGAAGGACTGTAGCACACATCTGTAATCTTAGAACTGGAGAAACAGAGACTGGAGCCTCAGTGGAGTGTACTGACTAGTCAAGATAGCAGAATCAATGAGCTCCATGTCCAGTGAAAGACTTTGAGTCAAAAAAGAAAGGTTGAAAGTTATCAAGGGAGATATTTGCACCTGCATTTCACACACACACACACACATACACATGCAAAAATTTTGAACATAAAATTATACAGACTTCTAGCTGTGGGACATCCTTACAGCACGATTTCCAGACAAAATATAGGAAACTTTGTTAAATTTTAAAACTTTTCTTTATGTAAATGTTGCCAATATTGGCAAAGACTCTTGGAATGTACTTGTTTTGTTGTTTAAAGAAAGTGTTGACTTTCTAAAATTTACATCTAACTGGGTACTTTTTTTTTTCTTCTCAAATTTGGCAACCTTATATTTAAGCCTTCTTCTCAGTTGGTGCTATGTTTTATAAAGCTTACCATCTTTGGTGGACATAAGGGAGAAAACAGTAACAGCTGATGGAAGGAGTGAGCCAAGATTTATCAAGCATTTTTACCTGAGGTTATGATTCCATTGGCATCTCCTTAAGATTAAATTAACACTCTAAGATGAATTTGTAACTTACAGTATAGACCATGGTTATATACTAGAATTTTAACTAGAAAACAAGAGCAGAACCTCAAAGAAAGAACATTGTAAAATCCCTTCAAGTATTTTGAGAAATCACTTTGTCCTCTCAGGCAGCCCCATGGGCCTAAGGCACATGGTATCAGAGCCTCAAGTCTGAAGTGATTGTTCTTGCCAGATATCAAAGTGATATCATCAAAAAGCAACATTCAAACTAATAAAACAGAGTCATTGACAAAATTTTAAAACACATGGAGGCCTCATTAGATGCCTCTGGCAGTTTCTATAAAAATTTAAAAATTATTTAGAATAAAGCAATAATATTAGAATATGATAACAGCAGCAATTCAGCCTTACTTATCTCGGTATTTATAACATTTTTAGCCCATTGCCTGGCAGTGGTTTAGCATGGGAAAAATATTTTTAGAATAAATGAATACCTCTTTATCTTACTGATCTCTCCCCTTTAATTTCAACTTTGTTTCTAGATCTACTTTCTTCCTTATGATAACTGGGGATCTCTCAGCCAATAGACAAATTTACAGGGACTATGGAAAATGACCAAATTCCAGTGCTTGCCTCAAAGATAAAGTACAAGCAGCATCTCTAACTACAGAAACATTATACTAAATGATCTGTATTTGAAAAAGAGTTATCTCTCTTGGGGACAGGGAACATACACAGCAAAGCCATTCATTCGTCAATGATCTGTTCTGTGTGTTTTACTGGATATTTGAAGAATAGGAAACCTACGTTTTCCTGTCTGTGTAAACCATTAGCACAGAGGTAAATGCTAGAGATCTAAATGTAATGTTGGATAATAGCATTTAATGAATCTAGAAAAACAGCTGTGAAGCTGGAGAGATGGCGCCATGATGGTTAAGAGCACTCGGTGCTCTTGCCAAGATGCTGGGTTAGTATCTCAGCACCAACACTGCCTCTAACTCCAGATTCTGAGAATCTAACGCCCTCTTCTGGCCTCTTGGGACACCTATACACATGTGGTACATATACATAAACTCAAAAGCACACTCAGACACACACAAAAACAAACTCAATCAACCCATCCATATCTCTGTACATCCATATGTACGTACCTACGTCTATACATGCAGACATGTTTTTAAAAGAGGGAAAGAAGTGGCTGCACAGTATATGCTTCAGGACTGAGCTTGGCTGCTGTCATTCACTCTGCCTTTATTGCACCTCGCATTCACATTTACTAAATCCGAATACCTTCAGACACACATGGTGGAATTTAAAAGCACAGAAGATTGATGCATGATGGACAGTGTCTCTCCTACTTTGGGATATTGTTTCAGGTATAATTGCTTGTGTTATTTATTTTCAAACGACAGATTGAATGCTTACCGGAATGTTTCCTGCCTTGTTTATTCTTCAAGAGTACAAGTAGAGTGCTTTCATTTTCATTGTGGGATAAAATTCCATTACAGATATACTGTCTTTCACTCTTCCATATAATTAAACAGCTTTATTCTGGAATTTTGATATTATTGCTGATGTCCTAACAAACATGCTCACTGAACATACTGTTTTACATAATACAGATATACGTGGAATGTACTAAGAATACTTCCAATCACTGTTTAGAAAGATAACACTGTCACTTCCGCGCAGACATTCTGACAATTCAGCAGGAATGCATATTTTTTTACATGTAGTCATCATGCCATTTTCTTTCCTCACGAATCCTGCATTTTTAAAATACAAGTTTGCACCCCTACACATTCTCTAGCACAGTATATAACCATAGGTTATGATAAATCTAGGAAAGGGAAAGATGTTATTGCGGTAAATCTTTAATGCTTTAATTATTTCTGTTTTATAATTGTCTTCCGGTTCTGCTCTGCAATTGTGGCTCTTGCTGGAGTGCTAACAGCAGTGCAGAGGGCCCAGAAAGGATGTCAGACTTCGGCTTTGGGTGGAAGGAAATGGCCCCAAGCAAGCAGATCCAGATCGCTAGGAAGTCCACCAGGTGGGAAAGCCTCCCTCCCCGCCCCCACCAGCAAACAGCTGGCCACCAGGCAGCCAAGAAAAGTGCGTCCTCTACCGGAGGGGTGAAGAAATCTCCTGGCAATAGGCCTGGGGCCACTGCTCTACCAAAATCTACTGAGCTGCTCGTATGGGAGCTGCCTTTCCAGAGGTTGGTGAGGTTGGCCCAGGCTTTCAAAACCGACTTGAGGTTTCAAAGGGCAGCCATTGGTGCGCTTCAGGAGGCTGGTGAAGCATATCTCGTGGGGTTGTTTGAAGATAACAATCTGTGTGCCATCCACGCCGAGAGAGTCACCATCTTGCCCAAAGACATCCAGTTGGCTCGCCAGACACAGAGTGGGGGTGGGAGAAGAGAAGCTAAGTCAAGTCAAGGAGGTTTTTATGGCATTTTGTAGCAAATTCTGTATAACACTTTGGTTTAATTTGTGACTTTTTTGGTAGGAAATTGTTTATAAAATGTTGCATTTGTACTCGAGTCATTCCATCTTTGACTCAGGATGAATGCTAAGAGTGACTGTTCACAGACCTCAGTGATGCACTGTGTCTCAGAGTGACAAGTTGCTAATGTTCAGAAGGGATGGGTGGTACTTCTTGCTTCTCCTGCATGTTTCTGTATGTTAATGGCTTGTAGGGTACTTATTATTAAGGTACTAGAATTGATAAATGTGTTACAGGATCTTCTTGCAATAAAACTGGTTATGACTTGAAAAAATAGAAATAACTGTATTCAAAGAGAGAATGATACAAACTCCCAAACACTGCTCAAAAAAATTAAAGACGGTACAAAGAAAAGAAAAGAAAATCAATTATGTTTAAGGGTTGGACAATTATTTTCAATACTATTTAAATATGCATGTTGCCAAAGCAGTCCACAGCTGCAAAATAATATCTACCATATTAGTAATGGCACTTATTTTTCAAGAACTGGGAAAATCACGCTATCAGAGGAAAACGGTAATCATAATCTTACGTAGCTGTGGATCCTGAGAGGTACAATAATGGATGACCTTGCAAGACATATCTGAGGGAATAATAGTGACATGAACGCCAAAGATATAGCCAACCACTTCCTTAAAGGATGTAAGGCCTACTCTATAAGATAAAACCCATAGCTGGTACCATTATCATGAAAATGAACCTCTGGCTCCATAAGACCATAGACACTATGAAAAAACATCTATTACTAATATTTTACTAAATTGACATAGCATTGAAACAACTCCCAATGAATTACTGTTAGATCCATAGATTATGGATCTCTCAACCCTCATCAAAGAAGTTTCAATTTGTAGTAAATGGCATTTCATAAGACACCCATGATAGAGCAAGGTATAAGGAACGAAAGCCTGTGAACTGCTAAGCCAAAGGGAGATCTATGTGACAACCCCTTCTCCCAAGGCTTAAGAATCAGTGTGGAAGAAGGGCCAGAATGATTGCAAGTTCCACAAGCAGTGGATAAGTGCAATGAAATTGTTTGCCAAAGCAAGAAAGTTGCAGAAATAGTTTTTTTGTGGGTGTTTTTGTTTGTTTGTTGTTTGTTTTTAAAGACCTGCTAGATAAGTGAATGAGTTTATCAGACCTTAGGTGTTTATGCTTATATTTAACTGTGTAATTCTGCTGCAAATAGTTCATTATTTAAGAAAACACTGACATTTGAGGTTTTAAGTGTTAGTAAAAACATTTGGAAAATTAAAATATATTGCATTAAAATGCTAAAATTCTTAAATATTAATCAACAAAATACACTGAAAAACTACTAAAAGAATGCTAAAGCAACTTAATGCCGGCTTAAGTACATGGATACCTACCATTTATTCATCAACTAGGAAACAGGAGGAGCTCAGGGAATTCTATGGAATAAGGAAAGGAAGAAACCAGAAGAGTCAAGGACACCACAAAATCAAGTAACCTGAGCTCATAGGGGCTCTGTACAGGCAATTGGGATCCTGCTTGGGTCTAACTTAGGCCCCCTGCTTAAATGCTATGGTTGCGTAGCTTGGTCTTCTTATGGGACTTCTAGTAGTGGGGCAGGAGCTGTCCCTGACTCTTTTGTGATCCTTTTCTTCCTACCGAGTTGTCTTGGCCAGTCTTAATATGAGGGGAAGTTCCTAGTCTTATTGCAACTTGATAGGTGTTTGGTTGGTATCTTCGGGAGGCATGCCCTTTTCTGAAGGAAAAGGCAGAGGAGTGAGTGGATGGGGAAAAGGAGAGGTTGGGAGGGGAGGAAGGAAGGGAAACTGTGGTCGTGATATAACATATTAGAGAAAATAAATTAATAAAGTGACTACATTTAATCTACATCAGTCATTCAGCAAAGATTTTCTTTGATCAAAATTTACAGATTGAAATTAAATTGTATTTTGGAAAATAAAAAAAAAAATTAGAAAAGTCTAACACCTAAAACAAGAGGGCAAAGATGGTCTCTGTTGGATATTTTATACCAACATTTATTTTAAAAGTTTAAGTCATGCAAATCCAAGTTTCATTTGACTCCAGACATTGTAGAGAGGCAGAAACTCTAAGAGTAAATTAGATTTCAAGGTAGGTAATATCTGTGAAAGTGTGTGATTACAAAATAGGATGTGGGAATGACAGGAATACTGATAAAACTCTTGTGTGATATATATTCTCCCTGATTCATATTTATAAGACTGTATTCAGGGTATGCTGAGCATTAACATATCTATTTTCCTAAAAAAATGTGCATTCACAAAGTATTGTATTAATTGATTGTATGGGAAGACTGTTATTAGTGAATCTTAACACTGAATGATCTGGAATGATGTCATAGTCTCACAACAGCTTTAGTCACCTGTTTCAATAGTCATGTTATTGTCATTTAAGTATTAATTATTCACTTTTCCATTAAACCCTCCATGTATTTATAGACTGAACACATCTCCTTTGCTGATGTACTTTAAGTTCATCATATTGTTTGATAGTTTCCGGTTAATCATTATGGGGAAACCTAAGGAGACAGGAAGACCCTGAGTAATAAATTTAGAGCTCTTTTATTCTGAATTATACCTTTCCCCTATAGGGCAACCTCAGAGAGATAAAGTATGTGATCATCCTTTCCCTATATGTAAAATTAGAGCATTAATACTCCCCCCTGGATAGGGTTTTTGTCACAGTTTCTCACATAGTCATAATAAATATCATATTAAAATTATTTCTTCTTTCTCTCAATGCTAGCATTTCTTTTTTAAATATATTTTTGAATGTTGTGGGGGTTTTGAGCTCAGTTTTTATGACACATTTAATGACATTATAAAAATTATGCTGTTAGTATCATTAAATAAATGAAATTTTAAATTACAGAAAGAGATAAAAGGTAAGGATTGATTATTAAGACTTCAAATTCTTTACCCTCACCATTAATCACAAAAATGTATATTCAATACACTTTTAAATGTCTACAACCATTTGATTTAACATAGCTATGCAGCTAGCTTTCATATGACCTCTAGTTTCTTTCAAGATCACCACAGCAAGATCAGGGACAATAGAGATTGTTCCTCCAACAGAATCTCTGCTGTGGGTCCTTAAAGAAACAACTCACCTCTGCTACAACAATAAGCCATGAAATTGTTGCTCATGAAAAATTCTTTGGTTGCAATAAATAAGTCAGAAAGAGAAAAGATACTGTTAATTTTACAATGCTACTTCTAAATATCTATACATTACCTACCAGATATACCATTATTCTTTTTTTTAATTTTATTTCTTTAATTAAATTTTTATGTTTTATAATAGTCACAGTTTATTTACTTTGTATTCCAGCTGTAGCCCCCTCCTTCTTTCCCTCCCAATCCCACCCGTTCCTCCTTCATCTCCTCCCTGCCCCTCTCTAGGTCCACTGACAGGGGAGGTCCTCCTCCCCTTCCATCTGACCCTAGCTTATTAGGTCTCTTGAGAACTGGCTGCAATGTCTTTCTCTGTGGCCTATCATCTTACCCCGAGTCCTCTTTCCTGTTTATCTTCTTTAGGTGTACAGATTTTAGTATGTTTATCCTATCTTATAGGTCTTGTATCCACTTATAAATGAGTATATACCATGTGTATTTTTCCGCTTCTGGGATACCTCACTCAGAATGCTCTTTTCTAGATCCCACCATTTGCCTGCAAATTTCAAGTGATAACACATGCTGGAGAGGTTGTGGAGAAAGGGAAACCCTTATCTATTGCTGGTCGGAATATAAACTTGTACAACCACTTTGGAAATCAATCTGGAGCTTTCTCAGACAGTTACAAATAGAGCTTCCTCAAGATCCAGCTATACCACTCCTCGGCATATATCCAAAATATGCTCAAGTATACAACAAGAACATTTGCTCAACCATGTTCGTAGCAGCTTTATTTGTAACAGCCAGAATCTGGAAGCAACCTAGATGTCCCTTAATTGAGGAATGGATACAGCAATTGTGGTACATTTATACAATGAAATATTACTCATCAATTAAAAACAAAGAAATTATACCATTATTCTAATGTGGTGAAATAATTCCTGATGGTCAATCTCTTTTTCAGCCAAGATATAAATTACAACACAGATTATATGATGATTTAGAAATTGTTTAAACATCCAATATTGAAGAAATAATGCAGACTACTTCAAGATATTACATTTTATACCAATTAACTGCATGTTTACAAAAACAATATCAGTATTTCTAAAACACATCAGAATCACCTGCCATGCACTAAAACTTGATCTTTGAAAATAAGATTGAAGAAAGTACATGGGGACAAGCACTGAAATTGGGTATGTAGTAGCTCTAAGTGTTTGTTGCCAATGCAGCCCATCTTTCCACACAAGCATAATCCCTTGCTGGATCATCCGCAGTCCCTAAGAACATATTTGACTTGAAGAATCCTTTTCAGTTTGTGTGCTTAAGATTGTCTGTCACCCTTTTTGTTTGGCTTCTGGGTAACATTATCAGTGTTCACTCAGAAAGGGAAATGGGACAGACATCAGAAGAGGGAGAAAACTCGGAACAGGGCAGGAGCCTGTTCAGAGGGACTCTGAAAGACTGCCCAGCAGGGTATCAAAGCAGATGCTGAGACTCACAGCCAAACTTTGGGCATAGTGCAGGGAATATTATGAAAGGAGGGGGAGAGAGAAAGACCTGGAGGGGACAGGAGTTTCACAAGGAGAGCAACAGCACCAAAAACTCTGGACCCAGGGATCTTTTATGAGACTGATACTCCAACCAAGGACCATGCATGGAGATAAACTAGAACCCCTGCACAGATGTAACCCATGGCAGCTCAGTCTCTAAGTAGATTTCCTAGTAATGGGAACAGGGACTGTCTTTGACATGAACTCAGTGGCTGGCTCTTTGATCAGCTTCCTCTGATGGGGGAGAAGCTTTACCAGGCCCCAGAGGAAGAT